TGGCATAGAGGCAAAGAGTATGACTGTTCCTTTTTGTGGTTCTTACACTGAATAATATGACAGGGAACTTTATTTTTTGAGAGATAAACGGCTTCCATTTTTAGAAGAACCTTACCATATTAAAAAAAAACTTTTTCTTTTTTTTAAGAAGTCATTAAGGATATCACCTGCACCTAAAATATATATGACACTCACCAGCACACTTGAGTCCTGTGTAAGTAGCCATATTCACAATAAGCATGATGAGACTGAATGCTCTTATGTTCTACTACAAAGTGTAGGTCGGCATTAGATAAACCACTTCTGAATAGATTATAATTTTCCCAACATTACTAAAACCGTGCAATATCACAGCTGAAGAGCTTGGAGTTTTGAACTGCCTTGATGCATAGATTAGTCCCGATTTTTAGTTCTCTTACTGCATACAAGTTTTTCTTCAGCAATTAGACTTGATAACAGGTGATGGACTCATACACTGAAAAGAATAAAGACTCTGTATAGTTCATTCAAGGAAGATAAGTTTTCTATTGCTGCTTTCAGATTTTAAAAGTGATAGTCTGCAAAGATTTTTGACAGCTTATCAACCAGTTAGCTCTGAATATAAATTGATACATGGTGCTTTGATCACAAATAAAAAAACCCCAAGCCCCTCGAAGTCTGTAGTCCTTTCATAGCTTAGAAGGTGAATCCAGATTGTCAGCTGTTCTATGGGCTGCAGAGAACAATTAATTGCAGGATTACTCGATGGTCTATAAATTAGTTTCCTGGCTAAGAAGGGTCTGGTTTGGCTGGCCTGGAATTGAGTTTTTATCTCCTTAGGACAGCAGGCTTTCTTCCAGTCTCAGACATGCTCTATGGTAGACATATAACACTCAAAGAAAAAGCACATACTGTGGGTCAGCCAGGTTTCTCCTGAATGGTACTCAAGAGCTGTAACCTTACAAAGTAGGTAAGCCCTCAAAATGTAGAAATTGCAGTTCTGTTTTAACTTTCCTGTGTCTTTTTGTTCCATATGAGGGTTTTTTAAAATTTAAGTCTTAATTAAAACGTGGATTCCTTTGATATAGCTACTTGTTATAGATCTTGCTATAGATACTGCTAGGTATACTAAGTTTGATAAAGGATCTAGAGAACAGTTTTGAGCCTGAAAAGTTGGAAGTTTCATGCTACAGAAACGGTAGGAAACTTGTATCTTGTGGTATGTGATTTTTTTTAAGCAACCATCTTATTTGAAACAACTCAAAAGCTATTTTTTTTTTTCAAGAAGAGTTTGTCCTGATGGGAATAGTACATTTAATTTACTGGTGTGGCTGAAAGTCAGCTGATGAGGTAGCAAGCAGCCGTTACTAGGAGCTGTAGCATAAATTAACACAGATGGTGGTATAGTTTTACAGAGAAACATCTGAAAAAGAGGACTAGCATTTATTTCTTTAATGAAAATTGGATTCTTTGAGTAGCTTTTTATTTATGGCATGTAGTTCATAAACTCCCCAGTCTTTTTGCCAGCCACAGCCCAAAAGAGAGCCTAGCTTCTACTGCCGTTGGTACAGGGAGACAAGGGGAGCTGTTCTTTTCCAGCCTCTTGTTCCCCTCCTTTCCTTTTTCCTATTTCTGCTAGTGATGGATGTAGGAAAGCAACTGCCTTCATGAGGAAAAGAGATGGTAAGAGGAGAGTTGCTTGCAAAGCGTGGTGAAAGGGAAGAGCTGCTTCTCCTGGAAGAGGGCACAGGGGGTAGGTGGGGTAAGACAGTCTGATGTTGCTAAACTTACAGCAGAACTCCTGCAGCTAAGTGGAAAAATTGAACTTAGCCTTGCCAAAAATCTAGATTTACCTATGACATACTACTACAAAGATTGGACCATATGGACATATTTTTACTAGTCATGCATAATAAACCCTCATTAGTATGCACAGTGTAAGACTTGATTTGCTGGAGTGCATTTTTAAAGCACACTAAGCCATGTGTGACAGGACACGTTTCCACAGACTTATCTAATCTGATTCTTGTCACTGGTTCAGTGTATTTTATTTAGTCTGGAAAATTTATTTTTCACAAATAATTTGCAAACACCGTATTTATGAGGTACTTTACTCAGAAGCAAGAGCCAGAATAGAATTGGCTACCAATGAGTGCAGAGTATTGTCTTTAGAAGAAAAAAAAACATTAAGTAAATACTTTGTAAATACTTTAATGTTAACATTGAGCAACCTGGTCTAGTGGGAGGTGCCCCTGCCATGGAACTACATGATCTGTGAGATCCCTTCCAACCCAAACCATTCTATGATTCTATGAACGTTCCTAGTTTCCTTTCTATTTTATGCACAGTAGTTAAGAAAACATGACTGCCTGTAGCCCTTTGCCAGAACACAGTACCTGACTTTGCCAGACTTCTTCAAACTGAACCTTAACTTGGATTTCAAATCTGCAGCAACATATGACTCAAAACTTAATTTATTTAACAGCATATTAAATTATCCTACTGAACAGTTACTAGTTAAGTGAAGATTAAAATCTTGCCTGAACTTGAAAGGCTGTTCAAAAGGAGAAGCCCTGTATTCCTATAAGTTTTTTTCTGAACTGTGGAGAATCAGTCAATTTTATTTCCATACTCTCAGCTTTTCTTAGGCTCTTACAGCACCACAAGTGTTTTCCGTACTCTGTATGTTGTATTCCACAGCAAGCAGAGCTTTAAATAAAGGACAGAGAGGTGTGCTGACCTCGTAGCTGGATAAGTGTTAATAGCTAAAGAAATTACAGTTACTGGAACATTTTACAGGAGCTATTTTACAAACACCTCGCTACTTTTGGCCAGATATTAAACTTTTTTCCAGCATATTCAGCAGAACTACCAACACTGTCAAAATCTATTTAAAGCCGTGCCTCATGTATTATCTTCCACTGGGACTGTAAATGTCAGTGAGGCACAAACTACTCTTGCCACATCTATGGGTCACTTTCAGCATCCCAGACTTGAAATAACAAGGCATCTGTTTAATTTTTAAGGAAACAATGCAACACATTCATTTAGGATAAACAAAAACCGCATTCAGAGTAGAATACTTTATTAATCGCAGCCTAGAAAAAGTGCAGACGAACATTTCCCATTGTGCATAAGGCATTAAATGTCTCAATTTCATGGTAGAGCTGAGCAGTAAACTTGCCTCCAGATGACTGAGTCTGGGGCTGGTATTGACAAACATGTACTGAAAGGCCGATATATGAAGACTAAGCCATTAATTGATCTAAATGGGGACAGTTATCACATTTCCAGTTCTTAATCTTAAACTAACTTGGCACAGGTAATATAAATTAGATACGTCATTTTCAAGATAACTGGTCAGCATAGTCTCCTCTCCAATATGATCATGTTTTCCTTGGATTAAGTTAGTTGTTCTTCCTGCAATAAAATGTTCTTTATCTCTAGTTAGTGGAAAATACCAAGCGAGAAAGCACCACAGAAATTATTTTCACCATCCAAAGATGCATTATCAGTTTCCAAGCACAGGGCCACACTTGAATACAGAGTTTGAATTTTCCCCTGGTAACACAGTGTCAACATCACATCAAATATGACAGATGCTGTATGAGTAACAGCATTTCCTAAGGATGAGGATGTTTTGGTCCCTTCTGGAAGTTAAGAACTATTAGCCTTCATTCACAAATAGGAAACTGAAGCACAAGAGGGTGGCTGAACCACTGAGTGAACTCATGGTGGAGCTCAGAAGCAGGGTGAGACCCTGCATCCAAACTGTGTGCTCCCAATGCTGGGCATGCTTCTTGCACTGCTGCTTGCAGAGGAATGGGGAAGGAGCAGCTTAGCTAAGGATTGACCAGCTCACTGGGCACAGAAAGCCAGGAAAACAGAGCACAGAAGCAGCTTTCTGTATGGTTGTGTTGCCATGCTTCAGTGATAAAGTGAGAGAACTCATTAATAAATTGCTTTTCAGGTGTGCTTAACTGTGTATGAGAAGGCACACTAACCACAACAAAGAATGCTTTGGTTGAGGAGGTTCCCTAATGACTCCAAGTTACGTCTACTTACAAGCATTTTTACAAGTAACTTTTCACTATTCTGACCTTCTTATTTTCTTAATAGAATTGGTACATCCCAGGCAAGTCTCCCAAGCAGAGATCCGTCATGCAATGAATGCATCTAGAGTTCCACCATGTGGTTTCAGAACTATTAAAAACATGGACACAGGGTGGCAAATTTTACCTATTGCTATTGCAACCAAAGAAAAAGTGTCTAGAGTTTCTCTTCGATTTAACGGCATTACATTTGTATACACTTAGCGGTAAAGTCTCAGCTTTCCAGTTCCATAGCATGAGCACAATCATAGGTTCGAAGCCCTTATACCACACTGTATTTCTGTGACATTTGAATCAAATTTGCCATTCTATAATCTGATTAATCTTTCAGTAATACGCTCCAGAGATAAATCAGACCTGATACATAGATTCAAACAAGGTGTCATTTATGTGTAATTTAAACAAGGATTTGTTATGTACAACATTCTGATAATCATTTCCATGTTCCCTCTCCCTGGAAAAACAGATTTATTTTTTTCTCCTCCATTTGTTTCAATTTTGTGCATTTAAAAAGTCAGGCAAATATATAATCATATAATAACTTAAACAACATTATATATGTACAATAATTTTTCTCTGACAAGGAAAAACGGCTTTTAAGCACTTCTATCAGTTACCAAGCTCTTTGTCTCAAATGCCGGCTACTAGAGATTGGTAGAAACGGGCTTGAAGCCATCAATTTACATCCAGATTGAATCTGGCAGCCTGAATTCAAATATCTCTATTATTTGTGGTAATAAAATAGGACAATTGTATCCCAATCAGAATTCTGTATACTGGATATTATCACCTTCTGTAGGAATGGATGATGGGATCTGCGAGGATTATCTGCAGAGTGCTACAGGATACTATTGATCACTCTGCTTAGTCAACATTCATAAGTCACTTGTGGGTAAGATATCATAGTACCTCAAATGTCACCAGGGGATGGATGATGCTTCACACCTCCCTCAGCTCAACTGCAAATCACGACCTTCTCCAGCCATCCCAGCACCTACACAAAATCAGGGGAAACATAGACAAGAGGTGAGTTCTGGAACAGCAAAGGTCACTGGCGGTGGGAAGGCGACATAACAAAATCCAAACAGGCGTCCTGGCACTGCTGTCCCTCAGGGAAGGTCACCCCAGGAAAGCCCACCAGCTGGGCAGGCTGCACAGCGGCCCTGAGCGGAGCACCTGGTCTTCTCACTCAAACAGCAGTGGCTGCCTGAAACCCCTTGTGTTGCTGGGGGCTTGCCAAGCCGCAGGATCCCACAATAACCTTGACATTAAAATGCACAGACACAGATTTAAACGGCAAAGAGAAGTCAGGGTGACTAATCAAGACTCATTTTCAATGTATGTCCATGTCGGAAATCAGCTGGACTGGAAGTAAACTGTGAATTACCAAGAAGAGGATGTGGATGAGTAATATCTCACTACTACTACTTCAGACAACAAATTGCAGTGTACTAACTCATAAACTGGCAATTTTAAGAAAGTAACATTTCTTTTTTCTCTAAAAGGACAGTGTGTAAGTCTCAGGAAGACGGCATGCTGTTAAAAAAAAGAAGTACGTCATTTGTTATGTTCAGAATTCCTAGGCATATTATCACTCCCATGATATCTGGCACAGCAGCAGTATCTGAAACAGTCTTGAATTAGCAGTACTTCTATATTTAAACTAAAATAACATTAATTCAACACGGAAGGTTACTTCTCCCCCAGGATGCAAGTCAGCTTTTTAAAGTATTTTGAAAAGTCAGCCACATTGTCCACATTAATAGAATAATTCACAATAATTTGGTTTCTAGAGGGTAGGGCTATGAAAAGAAGACTGGATTTCACAGTATCAGGCTCTAAATAACCAGGAAAGGAAAGCTGTTTGCAAAACCCCACAAATAACATCTAAACAAATGCTGTATACATTCAGACTGAATGCCTAGGGTCCCACTGCCACAGCCTTAATAAGGAGAAAGTAATTATTTTAAAAGAGAGTTTTCCTTGACTGAGTACTAGAACTGGCTTAAGAAAGAG